ACGAAAATAGTTTCTGAATACGACGAAAATAGTTTCTGAATACGACGAAAATAGTTTCTGAATACGACGAAATAGTTTCTGAATACGACGAAAATAGTTTCTGAATACGACGAAATAGTTTCTGAATACGACGAAATAGTTTCTGAATACGACGAAAAGAGTTTCTGAATACGACGAAATAGTTTCTGAATACAAGAGTTTCTGAATACAACGAAATAGTTTCCGAATACAACGAAATAGTTTCTGAAGACTAGTTTCTGAATACAGTGCAGTTTCTGAATCCGACTTTGTTCAGTCGTATGGGCCCTGCGCTTCCAATTCCAATACATAGTTCCTTCATGTTCGTCATTGGAGATCTCAGAAGTTTCGAATCACCTAAGCAGCAAGCAGCTTTGCAGGCCGCCACCTCCTGCATCTTCTGGAACCATTGCTCAGCAGCAGCACAGCCGGACGATTTCAATGAGGCATTCACCAGCGCGTTAAAGCTGTGCCTTGGCTGTGAAGCGGCTGCTGTTTTGGGCTCAAATGATCCTAAAACGGCCTGATAAATTCAAGAATGATACGCTCTCTCTCTCTCTCTCTCTGCTCTCTCTCTCTCTCTCTCTTCTCCTCTCTCGCTCTCTCTCTCTCTCTCTCTCTAGGGTCCGACCGATGGGTCCATGGTTCCTTTTGAGCCACACTCTGTTGTGTGAATGCACAGTGGGAAGGAGGTCCAGAAATGCTTCGCGGCTGCAATAACGGTAGTGTATTTGGAGCTGGATAGTTCATCAGGCGTGCCAGAAAACACTTCTGCAGCTGAATAGTTGGGACATGGCTGGGTGTTGGGGTTGAGAACTTCATTGGGTGTGAGGCGGAGTGAGGAGACAACCTTCAGGCCATTTAGCCTGAAGAGTGCAAATTGCATAACTACATTCCTCCTTGGTTTCCCCCTGGCTGATTTCTTTACGCAAGCTTGCTCAAATCTTAGATGAACATCTGTCAAACAAAGCATTCTTGATGTTGCTATAATCTGATTATGAGGTCGCAACTTTCAAACATCTATGATGGAAGCCAAGAATGGCCCACTGGGGATCACTAGGGCATCGCAGGGCTGTGATCGTTCGGCCTTGGTCTCCGATATGATCTGGGGTGGGTTGAAAGTCCAAGCCATTCCAAGCCAATGTGCACTCTCCTCCACTCCCCACAAAACAAACAGTAAATGATTTAAGAAAAAATATATCATAGTAAAATACAATAAACTGTGTTATGAAGCACCTTTCCATCCACTCTCCAACTCTGTTCGCCACGATGCACGTTGGGTCCCATCTCCTCAAAGTGTCGGATCACCGCTTGTAAGTCGCCCTCCTTGGCCTTCTGCCGCATCGCCGCCAGGCCCTTGAGACCTCCGTTCCGCAGGTCAGGTAGTAATGCACTTGTTCCTAGTAGCGATGCACTTAGTTACTAGTAACTTCTTGTTACTAGTAGCTAAGTGCATTGCTACTAGTAACAAGTGCATTACTAAGTAGCAAATAGCTATATACTAGTATATAGCCTAGCGATGCACTTGTTACGAGTCATCAGCAAACATGTTCTCCATAATCCAATTTGTTTGGATGGAGATACTGGGGATGTTGGCGCTTCTGTTGGGAGGCTTTGCCACAACAGGCAACATTCCATCACTGGGGCCTTAGGATGTCAATCATGAACGATGTCTTGCCGGGTAGGAATGCGATCCCATATTCCACTCTTATAAGATCCAAAGCCGAACTGTTGAAACAAAACGTAGCGCAGTGAACTTCGCTGCCAAAGATCGAGGGATCTCCGTCTTCGGTTTCTTGACCTCGGACTCGGTCGACCCGTCTGAAGCTGCAGCGTCTCCTCTGGCGACAAAGCACAGGAGAGGTGCGTCTCCCAGCTACATGGACTGTTTTCCTTGGGAAAGAAGCTGGGGTATCACCATCACTGTAAAGGAGCCGAAAGCACTTCTCAATGCCACCGGTCTTGGTATATTAGCATGTCACCAAAAAAAAAGGATCCTTTCTATCCCGCACAGATTCTCTCATGACTGCAAGTTCTGCCTGAAGGTCTCACGAATTATCCAATGTGTGCACAAACACATTCCTGTTCGAATGGGGTGCTGTCACCAAATGCAACTCAAGCGGCAACCCAACAAAAATGCCCACATGACATTTTTACAAACTACTTTGTTTCTTTATGTTGTTTGCTTTTCTTTGGAGGACCCCAGTATGTCACCGAGAACGTTCTGCAATACCACCAAAGCCAGCGATGCAAACTGGGAACGGTCTGGAAACTTGACGAAGGCTATATCTCTCTTTGAATGCGACAGTAGGATCTGCAACAAGCGACCAACTACCAAATCACCTGACATGGAGATGTTGGCTGCCACACCACAAATCAGCCGTGGCCCAAATCTCACTCCTCTTGCACCACGAGTTGCTGATAAAAGCGGCACCTCCGGAGGGTTGGTCGTTTATAGACCGGATCGCCATTGATATCGATTCATTCAAGTCATCCCAAACTGTCCCAAACAGAAGTCAGTCATCCACGTAATCATATGTTATATATAAATATATGCTTTCCTCCTCCTCCTTCTGCTGCTAAAGAGCGATCTCCTCATGTGTGAATCACGTGACCCTGCCTCACGTGCCCGCCCCCGCGACATGGGCCGTTCCTGACTCTCCAGGAGATCTGGGCGGATGCATCTGGAGCCCAGGAGCATACAAAGTCCAGCCTCAAGTCCAACACGTGGACACAAATACCCAGCAAAAAACATACAGTATATAACTCATAAAACGGCCTTTACAACAGGGCCGTCAATCAATATCGCTCTGGGTGCTTTCTGGTGAATCGGACCCATATTAGGATGTCTGGAGTCCGTCGGCCAGAAACAGAAACATGTTCGTTCGGCAGGCGCAATGTGTTCGTTGTACTCATTGTGCTCATACATCCCCACAAAAAAAGGATCCAAAAGGGATAAAAAGGGTATGCTGCTCAAGCTCCATGCTTGGTGATGACAACGGAAGGGGTTGGAACTGTCACCGCTGGGATGTTGCACAGACCCTTACCAAACAAACCGCTCGAGGGAGTGGCCCCCAAACCCTGATCCTAACATCATCTGTATAGTGCATAGAGATTCGGTTGAGTATCTTCAAGTTGAAAAAAACACTGGACACAAAGAATCTCAGCCCTCATTCCTGATTTGCAACCATCCATGAGGACAAAAGCAGGACTTGCATGGCTGACACCAACTCTCCTTCAATGCCTGCATGCAAATGATCTTCGGATCTTCCTCACTACTAGCCACACGATGCGGATCTGTTTCAAAAGTTCGTCTTACTGACCGTGACCTGCCGTGCGAACCTACCCCAACCATCACAGTTGCAAGCATGTTACCAGCAGAGTCTCGATCACACAATCGCAGGTCATCTCAATCATGCATACCTAGGCCAGCACATACAATTGCAACAATTAACCTCATTCACGTAAATCGTTTGTTTAGAGCCGCGACTCAACAGGTTGACCTTGGTGGGTCAGAACCCAAGTGCCATCCAGTGCCTTTGTTGGACATGTTTACATATGTTTACTGTGCTTGCGACACATGTTGTGGTTGTGGTTGTTGTGGCGCTGCTTGTTGCGGTTGATGTGAGACTTGTAGTACCAGTCATGTGCAGTCGATAATCTTTGTCATCACCAGGGAAGAGATTGTTTGGCAGCATATCTCCATCAAGTGAGTGACCCTTTGTGACTCTGATCTCTGATTTAGCTTAGCCTACAAGCTTCAGCATGTGTTGCTTTCCTGGCTCCAAAGGATCTGAATTGGACTAGCCAAACAGCTCAGCTAAAGACCTGCGAGACGGAACGGGGTAATCTTCGAGATCCATGGGGGACATGGATTAGA